TTTCCTGGAAATATTTCCCATTGAGCAGCCTTGACGAGGAATTTTTTTTATCTGGTTTTACATTTTTTTTTAAAAAAAAAAAAATAAGGAACAAACCAGAAATCTATTGTGGGGTTTTTTGGTTATTTTTTTTTTAATTTTCCACCTATTAAATTTGGTGTTCTTTCATTTTCTGTTGTTTGCCCTGAAATTCCACCCTCATTTCGCGGTTTTTTTTTAAAAAAAAAAAAAAAAGAAAAAAAAAGGAGAAGTAAAAGAAGAAGTAGAAGAGGAAGAATAGAAAAAACTGAAGTGAAAATTGGGGAAGCAAGAGGTTTTACTAAAGCCAAGGAAGGTCAGTGTTACCCAGCTCTGCAGGGAAGCCCTGGGAATGATCCTGTCCTCATTTTGAGGGGGTGGAGGGTGGCTGAGCTCTCCTTGGATGAATTCTTTATCCCAGGAATGGCCACTGCAGGCTCACACACGTGGACACCAATCTGTCCCTCCGGCCTTTCTCCTTGGGCTGCATCCCTGCCTCTGGAATTAAATCCCATGGACGCTGATTTTCCAAGCGTGTGGCAGAGCTGAAACCTTCAAGGGGATGAAAGGAGAGATAATAATTTGTTGTTCGTGTTATTAAGCATTATTATTATTACCCTTTTCCCCACAGCCTCACGTGAGCTCCGGGACCCACACGGGGTGGGAAGAGGGACAAGACAAACCACAGGAGTTTAATAAATAATAAATGAAGTTTTAATGAAGTAAATTCCTTGGGATGAGCCGAGGAAATAGGGATTTGCTGCTCCGTTGGGGGGATCCCAAGAGTTAATTGCAGTGACTGAGCCTTTAGGAATTAAAAACAAAAAGGGTCAAATACCTTTTCTTTGGGGTGGAGAAGCTTTGGATGTTTGGTTTTCATTTTTACTTTGCTCCTGGCTGTGTCCTGGCAGCAGAGACAGATCCCCCAGAGATAACACAGGGAATGGGACAGCTGGAGGTGCCCACAGGGAAAGAGAGATGATATCCTAGGAGTGGGACCCCCTGGTGCCCCGGGAGGAGGCTGTGGGGAAAAGGGTAATAATAATAATGCTTAATAAGATTAATAGCAATTATTATAATTATAGAATTTTATATCGATATATAAATTATCTATAATAATTTACTGGCATATATACATATATATTGATTTATTACTGATGTTTAAATTATTTATTAAAGAAATTTTCTGAATATCCAACCTGACCCTCCCTTGGCACAGCCTGAGGCCGTTTCCTCTCATCCTGTCTCTTGTTCCCTGGGAGCAGAGCCCGACCCTCACCTGGCTCCCCTCTCCTGTTGGGGAGTTTTTGGGAGCAGGAAGGTCCCCCCTGAGCCTCCTTTTCTCCAGGCTGAGCCCCCCCCAGCTCCCTCGGCCTCTCCTGCTGCTCCAGACCCTTCCCCAGCTCCTTTCCCTTCCTTGGACACCCTCCTGCCCCTCAATGTCCTTGTTTTCATGCGGAATCCAAACCTGGAGACAGGAATTGAGGTGTGAGCTCAGCAGCGCCCAGCACAGGGGGACGGGCACTGCCCTGGGCCCGCTGCCACGCTGTGGCTGCTGCACAAACAGGGTGATGACCCCATTGGGGTGACGACCCCATTGGGGTGATGATCCCATTGAGGTGATGATCCCATTGGGGTGATGATCCCATTGGGGTGATGACGATCCCAGCGGGGTTCACCCGCTCTGACTCCCATCCCGAGGTGCCCTTTTGTGAAACCCAGTTGCTGTTTCCCCCTTGGCACCGGGAGAACCCCCGTTTTTCCCGGTCGCGCTCGGCCCCATCCCGCTCCCCGGCGCGTGCCCCCGTCCATCCCGCGGGATACCCCGCTCGGCTCCCGCCCCTCCCGCTCCTCCCGGGCGGGACCAGCCGGGGAGGAGCCGTGGGGAGGATGCGGGAAGGGGGGGGCCCCGGGGCCGGCGTGGGCGGGTGGGAGGGGAGGGGGGGACGCGTCTGGCCGGGATTCACCCGCCGCAATCACTCCCCGTCCCCCGAGGCGCTTCCTTCCCCCGACGGGGCGGGCGGGCGGGCGGCTATAAAGGGGGCGGGCGGCGGGCTCGGCCATGCCAGAGCTCCGCGGCGGCGCCGGCCGCCCCCTCCGCCGGCCATGCGGCGGCTCCCGCTGCTGCTGCCGCTGCTGCTGCTGCTCGGGATGGGGCTGGGAGCGCCGGGCGAGCCGGGGGAGCCGGAGCCGCTCGCCCCGTCGGGCGCGCAGTGCCTGCAGCACGCGTGTTTCGCCGTGTTCTGGGGGTCGCGCCCGTTCGCGGCGGCGAGCGCGGGGTGCGAGCGGGGCGGGGGGCACCTCATGACCGTGCGCTCCACCGTGGCCGAGGAGGCGATCGCGCTGCTGCTGCAGAACCGCGGCGGGCGGCTGTGGCTGGGGCTCAGCCTGGCGCCCTCCCTGCGCTGCACCGAGCCCGCCCGGCGGCTCCGCGGCTTCCGCTGGGTCACCGAGGACAACCGCACGGACTACACCAACTGGGCGCCGTCGGGGCCGCGCTGCGGCGAGCGCTGCGTGACCGTGTCGCGGGAGCTGCGCTGGGAGGAGCGGCGCTGCGAGGACCCCGCCGACGGCTTCCTCTGCGAGTACAACTACGGCAGCAGCTGCCCGCTCCTGCCCTCCGCCGAGGGGCTCCCCGTCAGCTACACCACCCCCTTCGGCGCCCGCGGAGGGGAGTTCCTGGCGCTGCCGCCGCGCAGCGTGGCCTCGGTGCCCGCCCTGGGGCTGGAGCTGCGCTGCGACGAGGACGGCGAGGGCGGGCGGCTGCGCTGGGGCCGCGCCGAGCCCGGAGCGTGGCCGTGCCGCCTGGGGGGCGGCGGCTGCGAGGGCGCCTGCAGCGAGGGCGCGGGCGGGCCGCGCTGCTCCTGCCCCGACGGCGCCGTGCTGGGCCCCGACGGGCGCGGGTGCCGCTCGCCCTGCGCGGGGGCGCCGTGCCAGCAGCACTGCGTGGTGTCCGGCAGCTCCTTCGTGTGCATGTGCGACACCGGGTACCACCTGGGCGCCGACGGCAGCTCCTGCGAGGACAACGACGACTGCGCCAGCGAGCCCGGGCTGTGCGAGCAGCTCTGCGTCAACACCATGGGCGGCTTCGAGTGCCGCTGCTACGCCGGCTACAGGATGGTGGACGGGCACTGCCAGCGCGAGTCCCACTGCTACAGGGCGCCCTGCGAGCAGAGCTGCGAGGACGTGCCCGGCGGGTACCGCTGCGGGTGCTACGACGGCTACGCCGTGGACCCGCGGGACCCCGCGCGGTGCCGGCTGCACTGCAGCGACAGCCAGTGCCCGCCCCACTGCAGCCAGTACAGCGAGGGCTGCGAGTGCCCCGAGGGCTTCCTGCTGGACGACGACAAGCTCTGCGTGGACATCGACGAGTGCGACATGAACTACTGCGAGCACAACTGCACCAACCACCCCGGCGGCTACCGGTGCCACTGCCCCGCCGGCTACCGGCTCGTCAACGACCTCGACTGCGCCCCGCTCCCGGAGCAGGACGCGGAGGGACCGCCGTTCTCGGGGGATTTCGAATCCCAGACGCTCCCCCCACCCACGGCCGTCCCGCGGACGCCCCCGCCCAGCCGGACCCCACCGAAGGCGGAGCCCCTCCACCCCGGCGCCCTGGTGGGCATCGCGGTGGGCGCCGTTTTGACCGCCCTGGCCCCGCTGGCTCTGGGCTACTACCTGGCAAAGAAGCGCTGCCGGCCCCCCGCCACCATGGATTACAAGTGCGGGGGACCCCACGAGAAGGAGCTCGGGCTCCAGCCGGTCGCCTCGGGCTGTGCCGGCCCCGCACAGAAACTGTAGGGACTGCGGGCAGGACGGAGAGAGGGAGGTGGACTGAACTTGGTAATATTTACAACCCCCACCACCACCACCACCTCACCCCTGCTGCAATTTTTTAATGACAATTTGGGAAAAGCTGTGATCAACCCACTTCTAAAAATACTCGCTGCTTTCCAGTCGGCTCTTGGAACACTGGCGCCAGAGAGCCAGGAAGGCAGAACGCGCGGAGGCTGCTCCGTTCTTGCTCTGTTCGTTCCTGCTCCGTTCATTCCTGCTCCGTTCCCGCTCCCTTCGCAGGCGGCAGCCGGCATTCAGCTTTCCTTTTCCCGAGCCAGTGGTGGGGAAAAGCCCCAAGGAAAAACGCAGGAGGGACATCTCCGTCTGGAACTGACTCTAAATCCGTGTGGACCCTCTGACTGACTCGGTGGGGACTGTGGAAGGTCGCCCGGCCCCCAACCCCTCTCCCTCGGGCCGGGCTGCAGAGGATGGTTTTCCGGGACTGGGAGGCTCCTGCCTTTGTCTGGAGTCGGGTTAATTTGTTTTAAACTGATGGCCGATGGAAGCAGGAGCAAAGATGTTGTGGGCAGCACTTTATGTGGCCCCTCTGCCCCCCGTGTCTGCACCGTGTCCCCCCCATGTCGTGCCTCATCCCTGAGCACTTTCCACCTTAAATCACTGGTGGCAGCGGCGACCCAGCTGAGTGTCACCCGGGGGGGGGGGAGCTAAAATGCCTGATTCCCGTTCCCTCACGTTATTTTGGGGCTCTCTGGGGGGGTGTGGAGGTTAAACAGGGACACGACACTGCCGGGGTGGGTTTTTTTCCGTGGCAGGGAAGGTTTGCGGTGCCGCGGAGCCTCGTGTTCCCCACCCAATTCCTTCCCCAGTTTCCCACCCTGGTTGCATTTAAACGGATTCAAGGTGTTTTTACAAACCCACTTACGACCCCTCCTGCCCACAGGGATTTTTCCTGTTTTCCCTTGACCGGGTTGAGTCTAATCCATGCTGGAACTCACAGCGAAACATTCCCACGGGGGCAGGATCCTGCCCGCTGCCTATTTTCCAGCCACGGCCTGGGGGGGAAAATCTGGAAAAGGCTGTGTTTTTCCAGCTCCTTCATTCCATGGGGGTCCTGCTCCGGCAGCTGTGGTGGGGTGACGCCGGCGGCTGCTGGTGGGAATGTGGGAGCGGGTGCTGACAGCTTTATGCCAGTGAAATATCATCCCAGAGCAGCAGTTTGCTTTCCCACAGGAAGTTTTGCGGGCCCAGGGTCAGAACTGGGGGGTTCTGTTCCCCCACACACCCCCCCTCACATACTATGAACTCGCTAACATGCAACATCCCCCCTGGAATGCTGAACTTACATGTCAAATTCCAAGGAAAATCAAAATAGTTGTGTGAACTGTGGGTTTCCTAAAAGGTTGTTGCCCCCGGGGCCGGGTGACTGAGGGTCCTGTCAATAGGCAATTAGAGGGAATGATTCATTGCAAATATAAGTCTGTGGCAGGTTTATTTTGGAACAATTTGCTTGCAATGGAAAGGAGGGATGGAGCTGTTTGCATTATCTATAGAAATGGAGCAATATCAACATATAAAGGAGTCACTTAAGAAAATATATAAAGAGAAGAAAGAAAGAGAAAGAAGGATAAGAGCAGACAGTGGAGAGGAGAGATCCCACCCGTGGCTCCAGTGATGGGACTTGACTGTTGTGATTTTGCTGCGTGATGGTCACAGCCTTGATCTGTCAGGGATGGGGGAAACCCCCAAAATACAAAAGCTCCAAGGGTTAATACACCTTCAGGCTCAAGTGGGAACACCCGGGTACCTCCCCTGCCTGATCCAATGCCATGGATCACACACAGCCCTCTGGAGGGAGCCCCAGAAACGAGTCTGGGGGCACCTCGGGGGTCTTTGATGGTTTATGGCCCCTTCTAAGACATGACCACGTTTGGCCCTGAGCCAGTTATGCCCTGGTTTATGGGATGAGCACCTCCTGGTTTATGGGATGGCTCCTGGGGGGGGAGGACACTGCCATGACAAGAAGCATCATCCCACCTTGCAGAAGCTGCTCCTTCCTGGCCTTTTCCCTCGTCTGGCTCAATCCTCTCAGCTTGTTGCTTAAACAAAGTCTGTTTGTCGTGGTCGCCCTCCGGTGTCTTACACAGGTCAGAGGTTCTGCCACCACACCCCCAAAAACTCTGCTCCTCCCCTTCTGTGCTTGGCTCAAATTCCCTCTGTGGTGGTTTATCCTATGAAAAGTGCCTAAACAGTGTTTGAGACACGCGGATGTCTTTAATTCCTTCCCCAAGGTTCAGCCCCCTGTTTTATACCCCCCGGCACGTTTTGTAAATACTTATTTATTTATTGGAATTATACCCTCCGTGATGTCACGCAGCGATTCTGCGTGGAGACCAATAAAGCTTTTACAGTCTGGTTTATAGAAAGCTGCTCAGGGAATATTCTTTCTCCCCTTCCCCCCAAAAAAATGACTGGTTTTCCTCACCGAGCTCCCGGAGCCACCAAAAAAAGGCCCAGGAGCATTCGGGGCTGAAAACATGCCCGGTTATTTCCCCACTGGGATTAAAATAGAAGGAATGAGCCGTAAATAATGGACAAGAATAACATTAAAAGGACGAAGTTATACCCAAAATAAAACCAAATAAGTTGGAAATGGCTCATTTAATGTGACCTTGGTGTCACCCTCGTGCTGTTCCTCACCCTGACTTCCTGGGGGTCTCAAGTTTAGCCAAGATTTGGTACATCAAATAGAGTTTGGTCCTGTGCGTGCTAAAATCCTGGGAATTTGAGGGGCAGTGGGAGTGACTGTTGGTGGGACCTCACTCGGCTGTAGGCCTGGCAGGGCTGATGGGCTTTGGGGCTTTTCCCTGTCTCTCAGGGCATGTCTTGGGAAGGAACAGGAACTTGTTATTTATCAATCTGGAGGGGCAGGTTAATAAACGCCAGTGGCGTTTTGGGATCCTTCCCGTCCCCAGTCCCAGCCGAGGCTCCCGAGTGACAAAGGGAACAGCAATAACGACTCGGTCGATGGAATTCACGGTATCCCAGGCCAGTCTTATGGCTTTTTATTTGGGGAACTGCACAGCACAGCACAGGGTGGGCCGGCGGGGCGGGCACGGCATCCGTCCCCTCTCCATCCGGGATCCCCTTCCACCCCCGGGGCTGGCACGGCGCGGGGGGCCTCCCCTAGAAGGTGGTGGTCTTTGTGAGGAGGGGCCCGGGCTTGCAGCAGGGCTGGGGGTGCAGGGGGTCCTGCTGGCAGGGCAGGGGGGGGCACACGCAGCCCTTGCCCTTGTCGTCCCCCCGGGGGACGGCGCAGTAGTCGAGGGGCTCTTCCTCCTCCTCGTCCTCGTCGCCGTCCCTGTCCCCGGCGTGGCAGCAGCACAGGCTGGCGTCCAGGCAGCGCCGCAGCACGCCGTGGAAGGAGTGCCGGAAATTCTCCGAGAGGAACCCGTAGAGGATGGGGTTGGCGCAGCTGTTGGAGTAGCTGAGGATGAGCGAGGCGTTGTTGACCGTGGCGTCCAGGCGGCCGGGCAGCAGGAGGTTGACCAGCTGCACCACGTAGAAGGGCATCCAGCACACCACGAACACGGCCACCACCATGAGCACCAGGCGGGTGAGCTTGCCCTCGGAGCGCCGGCGCTGCTCCCAGCCCACCCGCTGCGCCACCGCCCGCATCTTGCCCACGATGAGCAGGTAGCAGAGCCCCATGGCCGACACGGGCAGCAGGAAGCCCAGCAGGGTGGTGTACACCACGAAGGCGGCCGACCAGGCCGGGCTGGGCCACAGCAGGTTGCAGGCCACGGCCTGGCCGTCGCGGGTGGCCGCCGTCCCGGCGAAGACGGGGATGGGCGACGCCACGAGCAGGGAGAGGAGCCACACGCCGCCGTTGACCATCTTGGCCACCCTGGGGCGGCGGTAGGTGGCCGCGCGCAGCGGGTGCACCACGGCGATGTAGCGGTCCAGGCTGAGCACCGTCAGGCAGAAGACGCTGGTGAACATGTTGAGCCCGTCCACGCCCAGCACGGTGCGGCACAGCGCCCGCCCGAAGGGCCAGTGGTGCAGCGCGGCCGAGGTGGCCACGAAGGGGATGCTGAGCATGAAGAGCTCGTCAGCGATGGCCAGGTTGAGCAGGTAGATGTTGGTGGCCGTCTTCATCTTGGCGTAGCGCAGGATGACGAAGATGACCAGGGAGTTGCCCAGCAGCCCCAGCAGGCACACCAGGGCGTAGATGCACTGGATCACCACCATCCCCGCGATCTCGCCCGCCGTCCCGCCCTGCTCCGCCGGGCCCTGCCGCCGCCCGGCCTCTCCCGCCGCCGCGCTGCTGTTGGGGGGCATCTCGGAGCCGGCCCAGCTGGAGACGGTCCAGAGGGGCACGGCGGCCGCCCGGGCCCCTGCCAGGAGCTGCTCGGCGTCGGTGCTCATGCCGGGAGGTGATCCATGGGGGGCTGGCCTGCGGGCAGGGCACGGGCAGAGAGAAGGGGTGAGAGCTGCAGTGTGTGGTACATCCAAGCCCGATCCCCGGCCGTCCCCCTTGGACTGGGCAGCTCCAGCCGTGGCCCCCTGGCTGCCTCCATCAGCCCCCTGCCCTGCCTGGACACCTTCACCTCGCTCCTAGGGGTAGTGGCATCACTGTCCAGGTCACAGCATCTCGGCTGTTTGGGGTCTTGGGACATTCCAGGCCAGAGCATCCCGGTTGTTTGGGGTCTCAGGGGGCTCTCTGGGTTGTTTGGGGTCTAAGTGGGCTCTCCTGGCCGGAGCATCCCGGCTGTTTGGGATCTCAGGGGCTGTGCTGTGGGGTGGGCATGAACCACGTGTGGGGCTCCCCAGCTGCCAGTGGCAAACCGGGCAGCATGGCCTGGGAACCAATGCCAGCACGGCCTGGGAATCAGTGCCTGCATGGCCTGGGAATCTGTGCCAGCATGGCCTGGGAATCTGTGCCAGCATGGCCTGGGAATCAGTGCCGGCATGGCCTGGGAATCAACGCCATCCACCTCCACAGACCCCCGCAAATCTCCAGGATTTCATTAACCTTGCGGGGAAAGGAAAGAGAAGGAGAAACCGAGCCGGGAATATTTTACCTCTCAGTCTTCCAGGGATTGCAGGATCCTCCCGCCTCCCTCCCGGGGGGCAGCAGCCGGCGCGGGGAGATGCTCCGGTGGGATCTGCCGGCTGTTGGCAACGGAAAGTCCTGCTTGACCTGAGTCAGATGACCGGGAGGATCCGGACCTTTTAAAGCGAAAGGCAGAGCGGGGATGGGCACACAGGCTCTCCCTCCTCCTCCGCATCCCTACGCCGCAGGCATCGGCTCCGCGTTAAAGATAAATAGAACGCGAGTTTTCCATCCAGGCTCTGGATTTCCGATGGAAAACAGCGCAGCAGACGAACCCTCCTCCCTCCAGGGTGCGGGGCCGTGCGGCGAGGAGCCGGAGCATCCTCCGGGCGCTGCCGGCGCGGAGCCTCCCGATCCCGCGGCCGATTCCCGGCGCTGCGGCGGGCGGGAGCTGCAGCCCGGCCCCCACCACGGCATCCCGCACCCCGCCCTCGGATCCCCTGCGGGTCCCCGCGGGGTCCCCCCGCCCGAGGGAGGCCGGAGATGGAGGAGGAGGGAGGTTGCCTTGGCAACCTTCCGCGCGCGCTCCCGCATCCCGCATCCTTCCCGCGCATTCCCGCCTTCCCTGTGCCCAGCCCGGCCCCATCCCAGCGCTGCAGGGACCCCCCGGCTCCTTCCTGCTGGGTCCCACTCCCTTGGCAGGGAAGGGGCATCCCACGGCACTGCATCCCTGAATCCCAGGAATGGGGAGGACCAGCCCAGCCTGGCCCCAAACCCAAATGCCCTGGGAATGTCATCCCAAATCGGAGTCTGTTCTGAAATTCGTGGTGCAATGAGTAAAAATGGGCAGAAATCGCATCTTTTGGGGATTTTTTTTTTTTTTTGAATCAGTTGCTGTGTTTGGGGCTTTTTTTTTGATGAGAGGGATCCAGGGAACTTTTGTGCCAAGGAATCACTGGCTCAGCTCAGTGACAGCCCAGGTCATGGAATCAACAAATCACAGAATCACGGAATCATGGAATTATAGAGTAACAGAATCAAAGAATCATGGAATAATGGATCATTTAGCTTGGGAAAGCCCTCTAAGATCGAGTCCAATGTTGATCCAGCACTGCCAAGGCCACCACTAACCCGTGTCCCCAAGTGCCACATCCACACGGCTTTCACGTCCCTCCAGGGCTGGACAACCATTTTGGGGAGAATTTTTCCCAATATCCAACCTAAACCTCCCCTGGCACAACTTGAGGCCTTTCCCCTCATCCTGTCCCTTGTTCCCTGGGAGCAGAGCCCGACCCTCCTGGTTCCCCTCTCCTGTCAGGGAGTTTTTGGGAGCGAGAAGGTCTTCGCTGTGCCTCCTTTTCTCCAGCATTCCCAGCTCCCTCAGCTGCTCCTCATCAGACTTATCCCAGCCTGGGCCACCAAGTGATGGAGCAAAAGGACCTTGGTCTCGGTTGTCCCCATCTCACTCTCCAAGTCACGGCATTGGGAAGTTGTTTTGGGAAGCTGGAGCTGGCTGAATGACCCCGTCTGTGCGTGGAAGGGGCCTGACTGCTGGGGTGGGAATACAGATAAACATGTATCTGATATTCCTGGGAATGGGCTCGGCACACATGGGAAAGCAGGTGCATTTTCTGCATTAACGACCATAGTTAATCGTGCAGCTGGCACAGATCCCTGCTGGAATATCCAGGACACGGAGGAGTGCTGGCTCCCGGAGCCCTGGCAGCGGGAGCACCCCCATCTCCATGCGGTGTTGGAATGGGGGATAAAGGGACACAGAAACCCCTGGAATCTGTGGGCACGGAGGCCCAGGAGGGCTGCGGAGCTCCGAGGGTTCCTGTTCCAGCCGGAGGCCGGAAAAGGTGGAATCGAACAATGAACCCACCCGTAGATTGCAGGGACCCTCCGCCCCCCCCCCCCCGGGAGCGACAGGAAACTTTTAAATGCTCTTTTACTGTAAAGGAGGAAACTCCTCCACAGCCAGCAGGGCTCGGACCCACATTGTGCTCCCGAGACTTCCATGGAAAAGCTGTGGGCGGGGAAGAGCCTTGGCTGCAGGGAGACCTCTCGGGGTGGTTGGTGCCACCAGAGCCTCGTCGTAGGGCGATGATGCCCTGGGATCATTCCAGCAGCAAATCCTCCTCGGATCTGAGGGGGTTTTTTTTGTGTCGTTTATTATTTTCCAAGGGGATTTCCCAGGGGATCCTGCGCAAAATGAGTTTTTCTGGAGCTGGCAGGACAAGCTTTGAACCCTCTCCTGCTGCTGCTCTCCAAGCTGAGCCCACCAGCCTTCACCCTCCTCCCTTCTGGATCCCCTGAAATGCAGAGATTTGGGATCACAGCCTCGTCACCGAGTTATTTTAATCGATTTGCCTCAGAAGCTGAATTCCCGTTTTCCCTCCAGCGAAGTTCTCCAGATGGTTAATTCTAAAATACCCACACCTCCACTCCGAGACGGCATCAAACGCTATTTAAATAGGTTAAATCCCCTCCCAGCCTCAAAAAAAATCAGCTTTTCCAGGTGAAATCCAAAGCTTTCCGTGTGGGTTTGTTGCCAGCACACCTCGAGCCGGCACATGGATGTGGATTTTATTTCCCTCTAACAGCAACCTGTCATATATTTCATATATTTCTTATATATTTCATGTATGTCATAAATATTTCATATGTTTCATATATATGTTGTATATATTTCATATATCATATATATTTCATATATATTTTATATATGTCATATATATGAAATATATATTTCATATATTTCATATATATTTCATATATATTTCATATATATGAAATATATTTCCAGTATTTCCAGCCCCCAGGCTGATCCTGTAGCCGTGGGTTTTCCAGCAAAATCCAGCTGGTAATGGCTGTTTTTTTCCCCTGTCTCCAACCAAAAAATCCACCCTGGAATGCGGCCAGAAGAGTTAAAAACGTGGTGTTCTTCTCTGCTCAAACGGAAAATCCAGGGAAATGTGGTGCTGGGCTGAACAGACTGTGGAGGGGTATTTTATCACCTTTTGGGCTGTTTTTAGTTTTAAATCTTTTCCTAAAAAAAAGAGATTTTTTTTCTTTTTCTGAATGAGACATTCCAAGTGAAAAATGTTGGGAAAATATATGTTACATCTATTTATTTATTTTTATGTATATATTGATTTTAATATATAGTTCATTTATATACAATACATTAAAATATATTTATTATTACATATTATAATATATAATATGTACTATTTTATATGTTATGAATTTATACATATTATATAAGCTGTATATTATGTCATGTAGTATATAATTTATACTTAATTTATATTTTGCAGCAAGTATTGTATATTATATATTATAGAATTTCTGATATAAAATGTATCATATGGTCTATATTAAGTTATACAACACTACATATATTATATAATACTACATTACTATATTTACTTAAATATATGTTAAAATACTTTAAATATATATTAAATGGTATATATGTTATATATATGTTATATATATGTTATATATAGTTATACATCATATAGCATATAAATTATATATAAAATATATTTGCATTGTATATTATATATTATATTATATAATTTATGATATATAATCTCGTATGTTGAATTTTAAGTTTTATTTTATTAATTAATTATTGAATTATATTTTAATACAACACTACATACATTATGTAGTTTTCCATTAATACATTAAGTTCTATGACATTTAATACATTATACAGGATTATATTACTATATATATAATGCATATATTATATTACTGTAGTTCATTAAGTATATATTAAAATGCACTTTAAATATCTATAAAAATACACTTTATATTCAATATCCACTGCTCTGGAGGTGTTGCCGTTGTCCCTCCCATCTCATTTCCTCCCATTCCCATCCCTGGGGATGGTTATCCCGTTATTTCCAGTTTCCAGCTGGAACATCTCCCATCCATCCCACCTCGGATTTAGCCAGGCCAAAATCCTTTGCCTACACAATCCCCCCTGGAATATGGTGCAGCGGGAAGGAGGAGAAGGAAAATACACAGTGGGAAGGAGGAGAAGGAAAATGCCCTGCCCTGCTTGTCTTTAATTTAATCTAATTTAATTTAATGTCATGTAATTAACAGTCCCATCAGCTCATGGAATAAGAGCTCATCACAAGACCCAGGGCCTCCTGCATCCCAAATTCCTTGCTCTTTCAGGGTTCTCAAGTTCATCTCCGTTTAACTGCAAAAAATCCAATTAATTTCGCAATTTCAGTTTAAAAGCAGAAGGCAGAGCGAGAAG